CCCCCCCCTTTATCTCTCAAAAAATCATATGTTATTTACTCAAAACAGATTTGCTGCCCCTTTCCCTTGAGCAAGGTATGTTGTTCGGACTCTTCGAAAATATCGTCGAATGCGTATTGGATTCTCCAAAAGTAGTGTATTTTTGAAGAATCCGTTATAGGTGCGATAATATTTTGGGAAATTCACGCAATATAAATTGTGACAACTTTTAATGCCCCCAAAATTTTAATATAGTGTTTTCTTTACATTTTAACCTTGGATAAGCATAAAAAGCATTTAGATTGATAATAGTAACAACGTCTTTCTTCTGGCAAAATCATACTAATTGTTTCAAACTTGTCCTTAAGAGTCAAAGTCGGATTGATCATATTACCAATGAGTTCAACTGAATTCAATATTTTTAATAAATATGTGTGTGTTAAAAATCAAATGTGTCACGTATGATTGGGTTTATGAGTGAATCACAAGAAAAGAGGGATGCTGAAAGCCAGGTTGTATTGGACAAGTGACCCACTGGCCTTCACTTCACCCTCGTGACTTACCTGACTCAACTTGGCACGTGCCTTTCTTTCCTTTGTCTATTATCTCCAATTTTATAGTACTACTACTGCATATGGCTAGTATCGAAAAGATTAACAAGTACCATCAAAGTATGTGGTGCTCAAATGTGGCTGCTCTTCTCTAGAGATTTCGAGTTCGAATTCTGGGTATGAAAAAATTCTTGGTAGGGTGCGCTTTTCTCCGAATGGGGCCCTACGCGACGCAAATCCGGATATAGTCGGGCTCCAATGCCGGCACCGGACACTGAGTGGGAAACCACAAAAAAGATTAATAAGTATGACAAACTATTAAACCTATGATGAAGGAAAAAGGATGATTCTACCACAAAAAAGATTAATAAGTATGACAAACTATTAAACCTATGATGAAGGAAAAAGGATGATTCTACCACAAAAAAGATTAATAAGTATGACAAACTATTAAACCTATGATGAAGGAAAAAGGATGATTCTACCACAAAAAAGATTAATAAGTATGACAAACTATTAAACCTATGATGAAGGAAAAAGGATGATTCTTTTGGATCTAATAATTAGTTTAATCTACTCTCCATCAATTATTGCTTTAATTCAGTGCCCGAATGTCTAATAAAATTTTTATGGTTCTAACAAAACTTTAATGAAGCGGATAGAAAAACTTCATGTTTAAATAAAAATTGAGTAATTAAAGGTATTAGTAATAATTAGCAGCCAATAAAAAGAGAGTCAAACAATTGGCCAATTTTCTGGTATTATTAATATAAGAAAGGAGACCAGAGCGGGGATACTGCCGTAATTAAAGGCAAGATAGCAAAGTAAATTGGAAAACCCACCCACTAATGACGACTGAAGTGGATCCCTTGCCCCATTCTTTATTCAAATCAACAGCGCCAATATTTTTAGTATTAAACACTCTCCTAAATCTGGTGACACTTTATAGGTACATAAAATAATCATATATATCGGTGACGTGATAGTATTTTTTTTTTTTTTTTTTTTTTTTTTTTGTGCATATGTAACTTACTTTTTTTTCATTTATACAGAAAAAAGTTATACACTTCCCAATTTACTACTGTATATCTCAATTTTGAACTTTTCTTGAGACGGAAAATATTTGGTTAATTTGAGATAACGTAGAATGAAAAATAGCACGATAGATTTCGGAGGAAGTGAAGTGAAATACTTACTATAAATAGAAGGAACTTATTATTCCTAACGCTTCCATAGTAAGACATTTCCTAGTATTAATTGTCGACAAAAGATTCAGTCCCTAATGAATACGAGTAATATGATGATTTGGTCGTCCAAATTTATAACTTAATCTTGATGATATTTTTGTCCACCAAAACGGTGAGTCATAGGTTGTGGCAAAATCATCACGATGTTCAAGATTCAATATTTGATGTTCGAGATTTTATATACTCCTCTTCACTTTTACTTGTCACGTCACGTTTTGACTTTTCACGCCCCTTAAATAATGATTGACATGATAACTTTATCACAATAACACTATCATTTGATACTCAGTAATTGAACCCAAATTCCTATACGTATTTATAATAGCCACTATAAAGTTCCAAGTACATTTAATTTTTATAGATATCAACATTTTATACATCCATCTGACCATCTCTTTAGTTTAAAAGCCTGATTTTTTTTTAGCCAAATGATTGAGTAAATTTAGAAGCCAAACCATTCAGAAAATCCTTCACCAAATTTTTTGGAGGCAAACATTATTTTAATAGTTTCCTCTCAATAAAAGTTGAACATGGGCAGGAAATCAAAAACTGGCAGGGGAGAGCAAAAAGGGCAAGGCACGGTCGCAAATGGTGGGAAGCAAATTGTACCGCAATCAGCAGATGCGAAGAAAACACGGAACATCAATGTACTTCAAGGAATCGCACCACTAGAATTGTCACAAGCAGGTATAGATCACACACCAATTCGTCGTAATTTGATCAGTAGAGATGAGAATTGTCTGGCGCAAAGTAGTGGGAAAAGCTCTTGGGCAGATATGGTAGAAGAAGAGGTGGCGGAGGAAGCAGGGTTGGGAAAATCACAAAATTCTATGAATTCATGGAGTAAAGTAATAGGGCCAATACCTACGACTGAGGGATTCGACTTATGCAGGGAGGAAGTGATTGGTCAAAATGTCAAAATTACAATTGATGATATTAAGGATGAAGTTGAGTATTGTAGTTCAGCAGTGATTTGCTATGTGTTGGGATCTAACCCTCCATTGTCAGTAATGGATGGGTATTTTCGGATAATTTGGGGAAACATGGGAATTGACAAAGTGACACTCGTCAACAAAGGGGTGTTCCTTGTGCGATTTCAGACTGAAGAAAGTGAGATCAAAACTGTCGAAGAAGGAGTCCAGGTGTTTGATTAAAAACCAATTATTATTAAACCATGGAAACAGGACATTGGCATGAAGAAGGAGACCATTAATAGAATTCCTATATGGATTAAGCTCATGGGATTGGATATCAAGTATTGGGGAAAGAGTTCTCTCACAAAAATTGCAGGCATGGCGGGAAAGCCATTGAAAGCAAATAGAGCTACAACACAAAAGGAGCAACTTACCTTTGCTAGAATACTTATTGAGATGTCGATTAACCAGCAATATCCATCAAGAATCATGTTTGAAAATGAATATGAAAAAATTATAGAGCAATGAGTGGTTTATGAGTGAAGCCAGTGCTTTATGCCACATGTAAAACCTTTGAGCATGAGCAACAGGAATGTCGGAATTACATGAGGAGATGGAGTCAAGGAACAACAAGGCCAAAGTAAAGAACATAATGATCAACAAAAGGAAGACAAGGGTGGGCAGGAAAGACCTAAGAGCACTACTAGTATTGTCGATAATGAAGGAGGAAAGACAAAGGAAGTCATGCAAGAGACACAACAGAAGAAGAATGGACCTGAGGCAGGGAATAATCATGCTACAATTGCTAGAGGAACTGGTAAGAATAGTAAGACTACAACACCAAGAGAGGTGACTCTAAAACTTGGGAACTGTTATGCAGCACTAGCACAAAGAAATAAGGAGAAAACAAAGTTTGATGAGAATATAGCAAGCTCATCTAACCCTGGAGATAAGCAAGCTATAGTGGGGACCTAACCATGGGAAGGGTAGGGGAAACCCCCATCCTAATGGATAGTATTGGCTTGGAATGTCAGGGGACTAAATAAGCTAGCAAAGTAGAAAGAAGTAAATTTATTTCTGCATAATGTAAATGCTGGATTATTTGGGCTCCTGGAAACAAAGATTAAGAAGACAAAGGCACAACAAGCATATCTTAATCTTTGTAATGGTTGGTCTTTTAGCACAAATTTGCTAAAACGTCTGGGAGGTCGTATATGGATGCTATGGAAACCTCAAATATATGAGGTTAATCTGCTCAAAGTTATTGCACAATTAATGCACTGTGAAGTAAAGCACAGAGGTACTGGAGAGCAGATGTATATTACGATTGTCTATGGTTTCAATGATCAAGCTCTTATGAGAGAATTATGGGAGGATATAAGTAAATTGTATAATCAGATACATGGACTATGGGGAGTAATAGGGATTTCAATTGTGTCCTATATAGAGAGGAGAGGATTTGAAGGCCAGTCACTATGGCAGAAAAAAGAGTTTAGGAATTGTGTATAGGCTTGTGACCTACACAACGTAAAATCCACATGATCCTATTTCACATGGAATAATAAACAAGAAGGGGATGACAAAGTCATGATCAAGATAGATAGAGTATTAGTAAATAATGAATGGCTATCTCAACTTCCTGCTTCCACAGTTCATTACATGGAGGAGGAGTTATATGATTATAGCCTGCTATTATTAGTTGGGAAAGAGGAGGAAACAGAATGAAGAAACAATTCAAGTACTTTAATATGTGGAGTTTGGCACCAGACTTTATGACAAAAGTGGAGGAAAGCTGGCAGTTGGAGATTAAAGGGACTAAGCAGTATCAACTAGTGGAAAAATTGAATAGGTTGAAAAGAGTTTTAATAAATATTAACAAGAGCAGGTTTAGTGAGGTAGAGAAGAAAGCAGACCAGGCAAATGAGGAACTTCTAACATGCCAAGCTAGAATTCAGGCAAACCCATTGGATTATGAACTGCATAAACAGGAGAGAAAATTAGCACAGGAGTGTAGTAACTGGGAAAAAGCTATAAGTCAATTTCTGATGCAAAAAAGTAAAATGCAATGGGCAATACAAGGTGACCAAAATACCAGGTTCTTTCATAGGCCAGGAGGAACACAAACAAGATTTTTTTAGTTAGGGATGTAAATGGAGATAACATAACAGAGGTGGAGAGGGTTGCAAAAGCATTCACTGATTACTATACTACTTTATTGGGTACAAGCAGAAGGGGTATAGATCATGTTTGTAGTAGTCTAGTAAAAAGAGGATATTGTTGATACTTAATTTTTTCCTCACTTTTAACTATATATACATATACTTTCAAAATGGTGCATATACATCATCATTTTGATTTATGAGCATACACAAGCATTTTTACAATTTTTCATAATTTTTTAAAGGCTTTAGATCAATTTATTCCTGTATTTTATTATTTAAATATCCAATAATTACCTTCCAAATTATTTTTATGATAATTTAATAATCTAAACTTATCATTTGTACCAATGTGAGGTCTTAAATATTTTCAGTGCATTTCTTATAATCACATTTGTATTTTTAGGTCTAAATTACACATTTTACAATTATAGCCCATATGCATGTATGATTACATTATTTATGCAAAAAATAACTTTTATAATATTAAATAACTATTTTTAATCATTTTCATGCATGAATAATAATTTTGTTATTTATTTATTACTTTTATAAATTATTTATTTGATTAAAATGGGGTATTTAAAATCTAGCCTAAATTCTACCTATTTTCGGACTAACCCCCAGTCCAAACACCTAATACACTAGCCCAAAACACCTCAGCCCAATCAACCAAATAACCCCAACCCAATCAACTAAACCTACCCGACCCAAAAACCCTTTTAAATCATAGCCGTTGAGCTCTGAGATCAACGACCCATATTATTCCTACCCTTTTAATTATACCCAGACCCCTAACCCTAATTCATTCCCTCCAAACCTTCCGCCTCTCTATACTTTCCCCTCTGAAGAACCCTAACCCACCACCTCTCCTAACCTCTCTAAATCCGGCACTAAAATGGAATCAATCGTTGATTCACTTGTCTTATTGATCTCCTCTCACTACTGGTTACTCGTCTGTGGTGTTACCTAGTTGCTTGCCTAACACGGAAAGAAAATCTCATCAAAATCGAACCAAATCGGTTCAAATCCGTGATTTCTTTGATTATTATGTCTATGTTCATCAGGTATCCTTTGTAAGTACGAATATTTTCTATATCTGTTGATGATTCTTACGTATCATAAATTAAGATTTTCAGACCTCTTTTAATCGAACTAAATCGGGTTCGATTCTCTGATTTTTAGTGATATTCCGTCTATGTTCCTCATGTTCTGTGTGTTGTTTGATTTTATTCAGCCGATTTTACACTTTCCCTAAAATTAAGGTTTGAGACTTTTCCCTTTCCCTTGCTAATTCTGATTGCATGTAATGAATCTTTCCTTTATCGTGTTTGATTGATGATTTTCCTTATTTGGATGTTAATTTTTACCACTATATGAACCCTTTCCCCCATTCCCTTTGGATAGACTTTCTAGAACTCGATAGCTTCACTAAATCTAAAGCTTTACTCTGATTTGCATTATATATTATGATTTTGGCCGGCTGAAAGATAAAGCCATTTAGTTCTGGGATCTTGCTACTCAGAATATTGTGGGCTTTTATTATTTTGTGCATTTTCGCTTATTTGGTGAGTCACTTGACTTCTGCAATCTCATTCTTATATGTCTATGATCTGTATGTGTTCTTACTTCTGAATTTATGGTTCAATATGCTTCTGAGTTATGTTAGGTGTTGTTCTATCAACTTTACATATTTTAGTCTCTTTTACACTTAATTGCTCCTAATGCTACCAGTTCTAAAGTTATTTATTCTTAGCCTAGTTAATCTGGACTATCTTGAGGTTTGTTCAATTAGTATGTTAAACTCTTGAATGCTCATGAACATGTTTACTCACTTGTCCTGAATTCCTGCAGTGGATGCCTCACATTTGTGTTAGCATGTGTTAAGACCTTCATTGTTAGTCATAATTTACCTCCCTGCTATTGTGTCATTCAACATGATCATTCGACCCCATACCCCCTCCCCTCTAGTGTTTGCTTGTGATTTGGAACAGTTGTCTCATCAGGTTTGAATCAGTACTATGAGACATTAGGCTAAACCTTTGATACAAACTGGATAATCTTTTGTTAATTAGACAACTATAACGATGTTTGAATGCCTATGCTTGCTACTTGACATGATTCTACTTTCTATTCTGAGTAATAGTCTGTATATGTGTCTTAATTTGTGATTGTGATTGTAATCTCACCCCTTTGCTAACATGATATCCTACTCTTTTTATGATTATTTGACTCATTACAATGCTGTCTTATTTCCTTGGTAATAACACTAGGTTGTGTACTGCGCATAATTCAACCATGTTTTAACATGCCTTGTGTCACACCTCCTTTTTCCGCCCCCGCGAGGGGTGAAGGAGTTTTTTCCAATTAAAGGACAATCGAAATAGGATTTGTTTGTTTATTTCAAAGTCGCCACTTGGGAGATTTAGGGTGTCCCAAGTCACCAATTTAATCCCGAATCGAGGAAAAGAATGACTCTTATTACAGTCTGCGTACCAGAAATCCGGATAAGGAATTCTGTTAACCCGGGAGAAAGTGTTAGGCATTCCCAAGTTCAGTGGTTCTAGCACGGTCGCTCAACTGTCATATTCGGCTTGATTATCTGATTTAATACATATTGAACCTATGTGCGAATTTTAACTTTTAACCGCTTTTTCCATTATTATTATTTTATTTTTGTTTATCAAGAATTTCAACCTCGTGGAAACACATCTCGAACCACGTCACATCAATGCACCCGTGGTTGTTGGCATATTTCAACTCTGTTGAGATTTGGATTTGGGTCACATAAATGTGCACCCGAGTTTTATGAAGTTAACATTATTAAATACATGCCTAAAGAGACTATCATATCATTATCTTGGGTAGGGCCGTGAAATTTTCTAAACGGCCCGTCCCAGAATCTAAGCAATTTTAAAGCAAATATTTACTGAGGGCCCCGCAATTTTGTGTTTTTATTCGGCGAGGCTCATCTCATTCTTATTTTTAAAAGGGATTTGAAACGTCATGGACATGCATCTCGAACCACATCACAATCAATGTACCCGTGATTAGAGACATATTTCGACTCCGTTGAGATTTGGATTTGGGTCACATAAATGTGCACCCGAGTTTAAGAATGTAATTTAATTAAATCGCATCTAAAGAGTCTAACGCGTTATTATCTTTGGGTAAGGCAGTGAAATTCACTAAACAATCCGTCCCAAATTCTAAGTATTTATTACGATCAATTATTGAGGGCCCCGAAATTTGCATTTTTTATTGGGCGAGGCTTGTCTCATTATTTTTAAAAGGATAATCTCAGAATGACTACATTCTTTTATTCTTCGTTTTCTCTAAAATAAATGAAGAAAAGGTCCTATTTTATTT